CGAATTTCTGGCCAGAAATACAAGAAATGCCTTCAAATTATCATTAATAGACGCTTGATCAGGATCCGGCTGGCTATTTTCCTCTTTGCAGAACTCAAATTACCAACTCGAGACATCTTTTTCTCCAGAAAGAGAACCTTAAAGAGAATCACGACGAGAGCTGAAGTTCGTGAACAACATTAAGCACTGTAAGCAAACTAAACGACAGGTGGCGCTCAAAATCAATGTGAATGTAGAGTACATTTGTGTTAGTTTGGTGGCAAAAGGAGTTTTAACAAAACCTTTAAGTAAGCTTTTTAAGGATTTTCAACTGAATGCAACTGTTATCGAAGCTTCATCCTTTTCTGCCATGCAGTGCAAGTCCTGTCATATGTTAGAGATGACTTAGCGGGTTTTATTCTTAGTGGTTTCCTCTGACTTAGAGATTTGCTGGTATTTCCAACTACCAACTCTTACTTGCCAAAATACTTGTCTGTCTTGTTGTTTCACCATAGTTTTGTATTTCCAATTTGATCAAAGAGTATTTTCTCCACCCCACAAGGACTTCATAAATGTATTATGAGTACATTTGAAACATGTTTATTATAAATACAACAACACAGCAACACATTGTGGCGTAAATTTCAAACACAAACTAACTATGCGGCACTTTTCTAATTAATGTTAGCTAATTAAATTTATAAATTGCCATCGTCTGTTTTTGTTATGAATTATTACTGCACTGCACAAGTGTTGGTGTTGTTCGCGTTAGTTGACCAACTTATTGTGAATGATTGCTGTGCCAGGCTACTGTTGTTGGTTGTGTAGTTGGCGCATAATTAAGATTATAAAAGCATTATAGCCAATATCAATATAGAAATACACACATGCTCGTATATACAATATGTATTCATTAGATTATTGTTTTCGAATAAACATATTCACACATACTCGACGTATGTATGAGATTATGAGCATGTATGTGTATACTGCATGTCTATAACAGCCTCCTGACCACATGTTCACCACAACCTTTTGACCTCAGCACAACGTTAGCTAATACACCGACATGTCACAACATGTGGCCGGCATGCATTGGCGTACACAGTATACAGTGTGTTTCACAAAACAACGACAACTCGCCGGAAATATGAGTGCAGAATGTGGTAGAAGTGAGGACAGGAGTTTGGGATCTGCACTGGGTGGAGGGGTTGTTGGCGCACCGTTAGTGGGAGCAGCGTAGGTTTGCTGGTTATTTGGTGCTCGCAATTGAGTTGGGCAGCCTGCCAGTCAGCTTGTCAGCCACTTTCTCTCCACTCTCACCTACTTGCTTGTGTATTGTTTTGTTTCCAGTTGCTTGTCTGTGTGTAGCGTGGGTGGCGGATCCTTTTTCAACGTCTCATTCATACATACACGTATGTATATTATAAGCAGTTTGTGTGCCTTTGGATATGAAGAATTTGTTTTGCGTAGGTTTAAATGATTGCTTGTTGTGTGCCTAATGCTTAAGTCGCCTAAATTTATGCTTCAAAGCGTTTTGGCCTTAAATAGCGTTCCACTTGTGGCAATGAAAATTATATATGTCACAACAGCCTGAAAATAGGAATTTTGCGAAATGAGGTAGGCTTATAGTTTGAATAATTTTACCGATATTGCGTTTTGGCAATTCTGAAGTGCTTTTCGGTTTGCTTACACTACGCAATGTCATCAGTGAACTTTGTTTCGCTCTGGAAATTCTCTTGGGTCTTCTATCCACTGAAAACTGTAGCTTTGGAAGTGTTTATCTGAGTTCTAGAAGAGCAGAAAGTCCGCAGAAGTATATCAGGCGAATTCTATGGATGTTAGAATGTATTTGTTTAATCTTCAGCTAGAAATTCGTGCAAAATAATACCCTTATGAGGGGTCGCCGCAAACGCTCGAAAGGAAACTTTCGATGTTACCTTAGTTTTTGATATACTTAGGAGTGCCGTTTTGGATTTCGGCTGAGTTAGAAGACACCATTCCGAACCTTATTGGTTGGTTTACATCTGAAACTCGTAAACCAATGTCTTAGCGGTAATTACAATGAGTCTTAGAAATGATCAATCTGTATAGATTCGTTCTAGCGCGTCCTAAGCGAACTTAACGCTTTTAATAAAATTTATAAGAGCGCTTCTTGCCATATTTAAAAATTGAAGTTAGAGCTTAGTATCAAGGAATAGAGACAAAGAGCTTTAAGAAAGATTTAATGACATTTTCTCTTACCCTTTTTCGGTTGTTGTTGCCTTTGTAGTAACATTAAAGATATTCCCCAAATTGATTTTTTAGTCAATGTTGCAGGGGAGACAGTTTTCGATTCAATAAGAATCCTGGTTGTTCTCGTAGAAAGATGCATTTATTGAGGAAATTATTGAATTTTACTGTTTAAGACTATTTACGACCTACGTCTTGTGAGGCATGAAGCCTCACTTAAAAGTGATGAAATCCATATGTTCGCGCACGGTTTTTTAAGGTTTTTGGTTTGACTTCGAGGTATCAGAACCACTTATAATCAACCATAGTCGCCTGCCAATGAGCACACTCATGCACACACACACACACACACCAGCTCTAGTCTTTTTTAGGTTTTGCATTCACTACCAACGTATGCATAAATATGCTATTTCACCCGACTATGGATTTGTATGTAAGTGGATTTCATATACTATGTTTATAACCGTATCGCGTGTACCAGCGCAAAGTGTTAAAGTTATGTCGTGACCTTGCTGCCATAGAAAATGAGGGCGCAACATGTGCATGTCGACGGCAACTATGCTTTCATGCATACATATGTACATAGATATATACAAAGTGTTATATATTTCCAAGTACTAAATTTATATATATTGCCACCTCTAACATTTTTACCGTTATTACATATATAATTAATATATATACTCGCATGTGTGTATGTGTGTGCCATAGCAAAGCAAACAAAAACATGTACTCAAAATTAACTGCAACACAATTAACTCACTTGCTTTGCTGTACTTGCTTTGCTTAGCCTGCAACGACTGACACCTAAACTAAAACTTGCCTTGCCAAAGGTTTTTGCTTACCACATACAAACGTATGCACATTATATATATATTATACTTACTTACTTAGTTACCTGGCACCAGCTTTGAGTGCTTAGAAAGATATTAAAAGCAATAAAAATAAAAAAAGGAAAATGTTGGCGTGGAAAATTTGCTCGAAGGCATAAACAGCCACACAAAGATTTATGCATGTGTATGTATATGCGCACGTCTGACTGCCTCAGTCGGCTTGTGGCAAGCGAATATGCACAAAGTATGCAGTTTTCCGCGTCTCAAGTTTTTTGCACAAGTTTTTAGTTTATAATTTCTAACAACTGCGACTGCGAAACTAACTAAAGTTCGCCTATGAGATTTACAAGTTTTTGACTGGGACTTAGTGACTTTGGCAATTCAAAGTGTGAGTTCTTGGAAATTACATTTAGAAAGTAGAGAAATTTAAATCCTTCCTTTCATGCCTGCGATTATTAAAGGCAAGCGTCCTCAAGGTATGTTTAGAAATCTCACAGATATCCATTCTTCACGCAGTGTTTAAATTTATTTATGTTTTTCTTTGACCTTTGAGTTCGTTCTCTGTCATACAAGAACTCAGCTCTATTAAGTGTCCTTTTTCTAACCACCCTGGGATCATAGTTTCGATGATCTGATAAATAATAAAGCAAGGAACGCAGGGAGGTCTTAAGAAACTACGCGGCGGATTAGCTACCGACTGGAGGTGTAGCCTTTCTAACAAGAATAAACTCTACAGACGGTGCAAGTGTACCTATAAAAATATACTAAAGCTGGTCTTCGCTAAAGGAGCGCACATCAAATGACGGAATGAGTTCATAAGCAACGCTATTCGGCAGATATGGCCAGCGCTGAACGCTGAGGGATCACTAGGGCTTCATGGCAAGAGAATGGGTTACTACGGTGTGGCTTTCTGTATCTAAGGGCACAGTTAGTTGCCTATAAATTTGGTGAACTATATTATTTTTATTGCTAATGAGGCTTTCAATGACTTCAAAATTGTTATTCCCTACGGTACAGTGAGAGCCGAGACGTTTGATGACAGCGGATATTTCAGTTTGTCTTTGTTCATTGCCAGACTTATTATCTTCACTTTCTTATAGAGTTTGCAGATAACTGAACTAAACTTAAGGAGTGTTGCAAATTCAGAGAAGCACATCATTATCGTGCCACCGAAGACTGATTAAAAACCAAACAAAGTGGTTTCTTTTCCAGAACTTGGTGCTTGGTCAACTATTTACCTTGTCTGAAGCCCTGCTGAAAGTGTTCGATAAGTTCGTTGCCGTCGGGCACAATACGATAGTTGGAACTTAGGTTCGGCAAATTTTTCACGACCTGTCCTGAAATTGTGCATTGATTTTTACTAATTTCAGCTTTAAAGTTTTTTGTAGAGGCAAACATATTTTCGAACTTTTTTTTTTGTTAAATTTTTTGCTTTAATTTTTGCAATCCACGCCCCATCTAATTTCTCCTGTGGGTGTGTTGTTTGTTTTCTAGTACCGGAAACGCTTAAATAATAGTTTAGTTTTTGTTGATGCACCTTGTGCGGGTGTTGTTTTTTTTAGTTATTTTTCTTACAAAGCCTCTCATATATTATAATAGTTATTATGGATGCATTTTTTTGACTTGTTGTTGTATTTTTATACATTTATTTGTATGGCAGTACGATGCATTGTTTTTGTGTAAACAATTTAATAATTTTTTTTTTTTGATTTTCGAGCTCAAGCTATCGTGCTAACATCTATAATTAAGTTTACAAAGTAGGTTAGCGGTATGACGAGCTTTGCTTGAGTGGTGCCAGCGGGAGGTCTAGTTGCTGACTTTGCTGCTTGAAGTTTTTAATTTACTGATTTTTTTTTAATTTCTGAAAATATATATCTTACCTTTCAAAATCTATAATATGTTATGTACATATATTTTAAGAAGAAAAATAAATATTTTATTATGTCTTATTTTCAGACTCGGATGCTAATTGTGTGAGGTAAGTACCACAAATGAAGGAATTTTCAATTATCTACAAATTATTTAAGTATTTTCGGTTTAGATTTAAGGCTTTAAATTTTTTCAAACCTATTCACTTTGTACAGTTAATTTTACAGTATTTTTTTTATTTGTTTCAATCACACAAACCAATGATTTGAAGTATCCACACACGACGAACCCGCTTGATAAAGGTCAATTGAGCAAATTAAGCCGCGCATATTGAAGATCCATGCAAATAATTACTGGCTTTCCATTTGACGCTACACAAGTGTATGTACATACTCACATACCAAATACTAGTTTAAAGCAATTTGCTGACAACGACCGGGGCAAGTGTACATAGAAATAAAAATTTAAATATTCAATGATGTTGAATTGGCTCTATTGCATTTTAAATAAAAGCCGAGTAAAAGTAAAAGCAAAAAAAAAAAAAGAAAGAAGAGAGAAAAATATATGGAAAGTGAAAAATGCTGTAATTGAATTTCCATACGAGGAATGTAAAGCAATTATATGGAGGTAGTAAAGGTGTAGGGAAGAAGAAAAAGGCAAAAAGCTCAACATAAAAGGGTTAACTGTCCAGCGTTGGATTGAATTTTTTTTAACATAAAATAAATGAAATAAAAAGAAAAGAAAATTGGCAAAAATTTCAAAGTTTCGCTCTACCAAATACCGAGAGACAAACTCGGACAGTCGAGTAAAACGAAAAAAATGCAATTAAATTTCGCCTAAAACCGGCAAAAAGCCGTCCAAGCACTCAACATCGTTGACATTTTTGCTCATTTCACTCCGTCCACCCGATCATTTCCGACTGAAAATAAAATATTAAAAGAATGTATGAAAAATCTTAAAAAGTGTTAACAAAAATTTAAACCGTGAACTGCACTTCTTCCCAAAATTTTTTTTTATATTATTTTGGTTATTTCAATAAAGCTAGAATTAGAAAAATGGCAGAATTGAATTGGTTACGTCGACCTAAAATAACGGTGCTAGCTAACTAGCAAAAAAATTAAGAAAAATACGTAGGAAACGCTCTGTGGGCGTGCAGACCGTGAGGAGTGTTGGCAGTAGCCGCGCACTGATTCGTGAGCGGCAGGTAGATTGAAAACGTGATGCTGCCATTAATTTTTGCCTTACAGACAAATAATGTGACAGACAAATAATTTTTAAGCACAAGGGAAAGTTTCTTTTTTTCTATTTTATTGTGAACTGCGCAGTCGGCAAAAATTAACATTTACTCAATAAATCACAAAACGATAGATGCTGAGCTCAAAAGAGAAAGGAGAACTACTGCGATCTATGACAGTTGTCTTAGAAGCGTTTTTGCGGTACCAATAAACAGCGACAGTGTGAGAAAGTTTAGCTAATTTATGTTTACATTGTTGCCAATTTTCCAAGCTAATGCTACGTTTATATATATTTTTCCTACAAAAAAAAAAAAAGAAAAACTAACAAATATTTTTCAACGTTGCCATTTTTACAATACTTTCTAGAATATCTTCTTTCAGCCGCATAGCTACGACGTCAATTTTCTCTAAAGAAAGATTTTCTTTGACAGTTTTTGTCAATTTTCTTCATTTTTTATAATTTTTTTTTTGTGCAGGCCTTAAATAACTTTTTTAGCAACGTTGCCAATTTTCTTGTTTTTACTACATTTTACAAGAAAAATTACTTTATCAAATTGTTCTACAACGTTACAATCTTTTCACATAATAAAGTTTCTACATTTATAGCTACGGGCGTCCATATTTTAACAGCAAACCGCAGCAGCGTATCTAATATTATTGGTAGGAAAGTTTCGCCAAGCAATGCTATATTATTTTTGACTTCTTTCGAGTTAAGCATCTTTAGTAATGTTGTCAGTTATCGTCACAGAAAATTTTTACTTAAAAAAATTGTATGCAACGTTGCCAATTTTCAGCTGAAAACCTCGATGAATGACACGCTTGAGGTAGCTGAAGTCATGTTGCACACACCGAGGCTCTAGAGAAAGTTTGCATTATATTTGAAATGAATACCTTTATTTGAAAGTAAGAAATGTTTTATTCAAATTAATAATTTTTATTAAGTGGTTAATTATTGTTATAAACTTTATTCCTACACTTTTCAAAGAAAAAGTGAAATGTAGTTTACTCCGGCGCAAAATAAAAATATTTCTGGGTAAAAAAAGCGCACTGAAACAAGTAAATATCAGAAAAATTGCCATTAAATATTTTCTGGTAGCAAGGAAAAAAGCGAAATGTATATTGCTAAATTGTGTCAATAGTAACCAAAGTAAACAAAAAAAAAAAAAACAGAAAACAGCACCAGTTGACGTTCTCGCCTCTCCCCCTCGCCGCCACCATGCATATGTACATATTGTTGACTGTTGACAGCATTGACGCCAGGCATCTAACTGCCGCTGCCACTGCCGCAGCTGCTGTTGGCGTTTTTCGTGCTTTCATGTCGCCACGCTTGCTTTTGACACACACACACACACACACACACACACACACACACACACACACACACACACACACACACACACACACCTCTACAACCACACATACACATAAATGATTTTGTTGTTATTATTTTACTTGTATTTGTTGTTGTTATTGCGCGTGCTTTATTTGTTTACAAAAAGAGATGCGTCAACAGCCGCCATCAACAGCCCGGCAGTTCGTCTCGGCCTCGGTCATTTGTTTACTTTTACGTGTCGGCTGTTTTGGAGCGGCGAAAAAAAGCGCTATTAAATGTGAGAAAAACGCGCATACATATGTATAAGCATATATGCATATATAGTGCAATTTTTTTCTACAAAATAAAAACGTCAAATGTTGAATTTTAAATCCAACAAAAAAAAAGGTGGCATGAAAGCACACGTTTGGCAAATGGCTTTATTTTATGTATATATTGCACATATGTATATATATTTTTTTTCACGGTAAACGGTAAGGCATTGAAAAAATGTGTATTGCATCCAATGTAAATTTGTACAAGGCTTTTGAAAAATTCATGCAGAATTGAGTCACTATAAGTGGCATCGCATTCATTTTCATCTGCCTTTTTTTTAGCTCAGCAATCTCATACAAATACTCTAGTTAGCAGCCGAGCAGAAGTAGTGTTACTGATGTCCAAATTATGAAGTGCTATGCAAATCAAAGCGTCCAAAAATTCAGAGATTTCGAGAGTGTCATTCCCCTTTTTGATGGATATGCTCGAAAATTTTATGACTGTTGTGATGGTTGTGAAAGCTGTGAGTCAATAGTGGGAATGTGCAAAAAAATTGGCTGTGCAGATTTATCTGACAAATGAGAGAGAGAAGAGAGAGATAAATAATATTAAAATACATATATTTTGCAATTTCACTTTATTTCATTTTAGTTTAATTTCAATTATGTAAACTTATTTTTTTACATAATTTATTTTATTTTAAAATACTTTTATTTTATTTTAAATTAATTTTATTTTATTTTGAATGAATTTTATTTTGTTTTAAATTAATTTTATTTTATTTTAAATGAATTTTATATTATTTTAAATTAATATTATTTTATTTCAATTTATTTAATTCGAATAAATTTTTATAATAATAATAAATGATTTAATTTTATTTTGTTTTATTCTATTAAAATTTATTTCGCGTCTTTCTACTTTACCTGGTTTTATTTCATTGTATTTAACATACTTTTTTTTCCTATTATTTATTTATCTTTTCATATTACTTCGTTATAATTTATTTAATTTTGTGATTTTCTTTACTAAATTCAAATAATTTTATTTTCTTATGTTATATATTATTTTATTTGAATTTATTTTATTTTATTTCACTTAAATTTATTTATATTTTTTTATATTAAGCTTTTCAATTTCCTTCCCATGCGCAAATATCGTTCTTATGCCTCCATAATATCTCTAGCCTAACTTTTACACTGACTCGCTTAGCCACCCTTTTGTCTTATGACTTTGCTCCGAAGAAAAAGAAGAAAATTTATAATAAAACAGAAGTTTCTTTGCTCGCCCTTTAATTTGCATTTAAATGTTGCACACCAGGGCGTATACTTGACATTAATAGACTTTTGCGCTTAAAAGTATGCTATGTAAATGAATATGGTTGCCCTTTGGCGTATCTGTGTGTGTGTGCGCACGCCTGAAAACAAAAGGACCCTGGCACAATTTGTAATTTCTTGTAATTCCGCCAACATGCAAATACACTCACTATTGCAACAGCTACATATGTATGTTCATATAACCAAAAACAACAATAGAAAGGCAACGCCAATTTCATTAAAAATCGCTGCTTGGCATGCCATAAAAGCGCCACAAAAGTAAAAGCCTTAGAAGTAAATAGGGAAAATCCTCAAACTCAATGCAGGCGCACAACCTACGCTCACACCCAGCGTATGTAAGTGTGTTATGCATACATACATACATACACAAATACACACATATATATTTAGGTATGTAAAGCACTATCGAAGCATTGACTTGAAAAATGGTTTCGATAGCGCGCTGGCGGTTAATTTGTTGGCTGACATGAAAACAAAAGCGTTTTTGTTGTAGAAATGAAAAACAACCAACAACAAAAATAAATTTAGAAATTTAGCAAAAAAAAAAGGTATCTAAAAATACTCACCGGAAAATAGCAACAAAAAATTTTTTTTCCCTACTGCAATTTTTGTTTTTAGGTTTTCACATTTTTCCAATTTTTTTATAGCGAAAATTTCTCAAAAAAAAAAATCAACTAAAAGCCTGTTTGGTTTTCTATTCATATTTCTCCTATTTATGTTATTTGCTTTTTTATTTTTCCATGAAAACACCTGCTTGTTTAGGGCCATAACCATTAGTGTTTTGTGCGTCCTTTTTGTTTTGCTGCTATTTTCTGCTTGTTGTTTGTGCTGTTTTTTTTTTTTTGTTTTTCCTTCTTTTTACCTTTCGCCAAATCGCCTTTTTGGCACTAGGCAACTGTGTGCCGTGCACTCGCTATGCAAATCGCACAAGCACTTACATACACACACA